TATATAATATATATATTACCTGTAATAAATAAATAAATTACGGTAGCCAGTTAAACCTCAGGGTTTGATTAGTCCAATTTGCAAATGTTTTCCATAGTACAGACCAGTACAGGAAAGGATAGTGGACCCTTACAGCACATATTAAAGCTAGGCAACTGATTTCTTTATTAAAGCTTTCATACATGTGAATATTACACTGCAATGGGTGTTCTGTCAATACCAAACTGCTTATTTTACTAAATGCCAGTCCTTGCACTGCCGTGGAAAGTAGAACGTTAAACTGCTTCTGGAACAAGAAGCCATCTAAGTGGCTAGCCACAGACCTCGGAGTTGAAATTCATATCAGTCTGCAAACCTAACCTGAAACGCCTGGGAAGGCCTTCTAAAACAGACCAATTTCTGATCTTACAAGATGTAAAAGAAAACTGGTATCCACTCATTGGACTATTGCTGAAGCATGGAAACAGCCAATCCTGAAATTTATGGAGGTTAAGCAGAGAGTTATGGGTACTACGATACACGAGAAGCTTGTGGCCATTATAAACAACACACTCCAGATTTCTCTAAAATTTGTCTCCATGGTTAGGTTATAACCACCATATGAATCTAGACCATGCTTTGCTTTTACTCTGATGACCTCATACAACCTGTGGAGTTGGGGGACTGGGCTGGACCCCACACAAACCACAACCTTTCTCCCCACCCCTTTCTCTCTCACTCTTCTTATCCCCACTCACCTTGACCCCCTTTTCTCCCCTTTCTTTTTCCCTATTGGCTTAATGTGCTACCATTTTCTTCTCCCTTTTCCTGCTGCTATGGAACTATTGAAATATGCAATCCTTCTAGTCAGGCTTGGCCCACTCTACCCAGACAGTACTTTTCAAATTATTGCATTTTTAACTTTCCTACTTAATATACATAATAGTGCTTCAAATTTAAAAAAAAACTTCAATATCTGGCCAACAAACCAAATGGATATGCAGTACAACTTCTTTTCCACTGTCACTTTATTGTAACAACCACCCTTTTCTGTAAGCAACAATTAGATCTCTGTGTCACAACTTACACTAAATATTAATGTTTTAATGTTTAATAACTTTCTAAATATACATACACACACACACATATATACAGTCTTAATGGGAGATCAGATCAGTGCCGACGGTTTTGGGCAGAGTGTCTCCAGCACAAAGAGTGGTGCCCTACTCTAAGCCCCCACCTAATAACCCTTACTGCAACCCCAGCCCCAACAATAACACGAAAGTGATCCTCCATTCTGTAACTGTATAACTGTAACCGCTTGTTTGAATACTTAATTATCATGCTCTGGGATTCTCTGTGCAAAGAACACTTTCCTGTCCTGTACCTGTATAATTCTTATGGGCCAAAGCAATTCTTACACTTCCATTATGGACCTATAGAATTCTCATATTTGTCACTACTTAAGATGGCAAAGTAATACATTATTTAACAGTTCCCTCACTCGCTGAGCAAGGCATTGATTACAGTAGTGTTTTGGGGGTGGGGGGGTTGGGTATGTTGAACACTGCAAAACCCACTACCTGGCCCCACAAATTACAGCGAGAAAGCAGCTGTTCGTCCTGCTGCAGACACTTTTTGCCTTTTTGTTTGCCGGGCACTGGTCACCATAAATTTTATATATATTTATTAATTTATTTTTATTGGCTCCCCACTGAACATATGAAAATGCTTGTGCCAACAATGCATACCAAAAGCATGCAAATAATTGGATCCTGGAGGTACAATTTACCCTATAGTCCTTTTTCATACCAGACTAAAGTTGGCCATACACCAGTAGATTTACGAATGAAAGATCTTTTATTACCTGATATTGCCATCAGACACTTGACAAATGTCCGACGTGATTTTGTTTTATTTTAATTTAATTTGATTTTGTAATGAATGGAATTTCCTAAACAAAAACCACATTCACCGCATTTCGTTTGAGAAAAAAATTTCCCCCCTGCTCCTTCAACTTCTTGAAATCAATAGCCAATTTGTCCCCATCAACTAATATAGAGTTAAAAGAAAGATCTCTTGTATGAAAGTTCATTCCCAAATCTACTAGTGTATACCCAGCTTACGATAAATCACTCAACTTGCTAAAGGAAGCAAACTATCAGTTGAATAGCAAAAACAATAGGAGACATATTATATTATAATGTGACATTGTTCATGTAAATTCTACCTTTGGATGTCTCTTTCCTACAATGTTATTAGGGTCCTTTTCTGGGTTATATGAAGCAACCCCTTCCTGTAGGAGCTCCTTCTCTCGAGCCTCTTGAATAGCTTTCTGGGTAGGAACATCTTCCTTCTTGTGTTTGACATCATCTAGAAAGTAAAAAAATTAAATAATAAAATAAAGAAAAATAGACATAGGGTACTGGGTATGCAGAAAAGTATTGACTTGGATAAAAATAATATGCCCATATTAGAGAAAATTCTGGTACCCTCTTATTTAGATAAACCATTTTATGGGAAAGTGTGTTTTAATTAAAGCATGGTAAAATGTAATTTATCTCATCTAATTCACACTAGCGTTTACCTATGACATCTTCACTTTGTCTCCTAAACTTGTATCCTCATCCTCTCCACCACACCATAACCACCTGACCCACAGTCAGACAAATTATATGTAGTATTACTAAAAAAGTAACAGAAGCTGTGTCATGATGTGCTCCTTGCTTATCCTCCCCTTACCCATTGCTAGATTTACCACGGAAGCAACAATCATCACCACCATCATTGATGGCAATTGATTGATCTTCAGTGCTCTCCTTCTCCTCCACATATGTTATTAGGCAGAGTTATCAATGTGTTGGCATTTGCAACTGGCATCACAGTAGAATTGTAATGTTGTCCTTGTGCTGCTACAGCTCTTGCTGCTGTTGGCACTACTTTGTTTTGTGATGTCTGATGATGCAGATTCAGTTGACTGGAAATTGTACACATGAGTAGAGCTAGAATTGCAGTGCCACACTGTGATGTTGAAGTCCACATACAAGCTTAAGCCAAAACATGATTGGGGGGGGGGGAGATAAGCCCCTTCATCAGGACTTGTGAAGAAGAAAGTGGCGTATGTGAACTTGTTAAATAATAGGATCGTTAATAGATGGTGGGGGACAAAACAAAAGGACAAGGACAAAAGGAAGTGAAGATGGTGCAGACTCTTTGGCATCAAACTTATACATTGGAATGTGTCCATTAAATTAAAAAAAATGTATGCTATCTAGGCTGAATCCTGGTTTGCTCATCTCTAGTGAGTTGTTCAAATACGCTCTTGATACTGCAATGCTTTCCTGTAATACATGTACGCTGAGCTACTTTCGTTTCCTTGTTTTAAAAATCGAAAAAAATGGAAGCAGCAAAACTAAACTTTTTTATTTGGTTATTGAGTACATTTTCAAAACATGCATATTATAAAAGAGATCTATATGTTCAACTTATCTACATAAAGAAGTATAAACAAGTTGTTTAGTGGTGTTATTTTTTTCAAAACTACCTGTTAAAACCTGTACACCTTAAAAGGCAATTACAAAAACAATGGAAATGCCCTGTTTGATTGGAGCTCCCATATGTAGTAAGATGAATGAGCACTGACAGCCACCTAACAAGCAGCAGCAATACCCTTTTTTGTCTTTCTTGCTGCTGTTTTGAGTATTTGAAGGACCGAAGACAGATTGCGAAAACTCACTAGTTCCAACAGGGAATATTCACATTTTATGGTTTAAATGCAGAACCATCTGGCTCTGAAAGTGAAATATGTACCTTCAAATCTCTGTCCAGGAAAAAATATGACAGCCAGACTAGAATATTTTGGACCTATAGGAGGTCCTTCCTCAATTATTTTTACACTGTTTATATTCTTCATGTGAAGTAGCATCCCTGTGTAGACATGTCTTTATCTTTATTATTATAGTGTATCAGAAAAAAAAGCTCAATATCAAAAATATTATCCTTCATAAACAAAGAATAATCTAGTGATGATTGATTGTGTTACATTTATAGTTTTAAAGGTACCATGTTAGTGACATGGAGAGTGGACAGACAGATGGCTTAATTATTAAACAATGTATACTCTACAAATAGGTCATTTTGGCATGTTTGTGATGTTTGATAACATCATATTATAACCTGGAAGTCTTCTTTCAGTAGACTGCATAGGCTTGGGCTATATTTATTTAGAATCCTAAACCAATAATAGGTCCAAGTTGGTTTAAGTTAGAGGAATACATTAAAATATGTGTTTTAGCCTCTTAGCATGGATAATATTTCTACATTCCTTATCACAAAGATGACCAAGAATACTTCACTTGAGGCACCATACAGCCTGACATTAAATCTGAATTCAACACTTGTAAATTCCTATGATCTTATAGATGCTATCATTGCAATATAAGAAGATCCTGTTATCAACCTATTAGGACAGAATAGATTATTATTATTATCATCATTACATAGTATTTATATAGCGCCAACAGTTTGCGCAGCGCTTTGATAGAATAGATAGAATTAGTCCATTATACATAAATGTGGGCAATCGTTAGCAAGTAGGTGGATATTCCACGTACCCCATGTGTGTAATCTGCATAATTGTGCAGGATAGTTTTTTGTATACTCAGACAGCAATATACTGCTATTACTGATGCATGTTCTGGTCTCCAATATGCTTTATAATAAGCAAAACACTGAAAATAATTTTATACAGAGTCATAAGTTATCCTCATGGATATCCCTTGCGATGATGATGACGACTTGTAACAACCAGAAATACTCTTTACCACACTTTGCTGGGCTGGGGGGCATATACACTGGAAATACCTCACCATTCTGACATTATAGTGGAACACGCAATCAGTGACACAAGGTAGGCATTATATAGCTGCCTATTACCCATTCATACGTGCAATCCAGGCTTCAGCATCATCTTCCTTTGAGACGCTGAGAGATCAAATGACTGAATGCAAAGAACAGCAAAGGAAGCTGATGTTGGATAATGTGAAAAAATGTGTCACGATATACCCTGTCCTTTAGGAACACCTATGTTTTACAATGCTCACCAATCACTACAGCACTAGGGCACACTTAATGTGGTACAATTTCTTTAGCCCAAAGAAATACATCCCTATCATGAAGGGTGCACATGTGTACCCCAGGACAAAGGTTTCTAGTCTTCCCCAGGCGGGTAGCCTAAGTTTTGTAAAGGATAAATAACAATAAAACATGTGTAATTCCTATAAAATCAATGTGGACACAGATTCAGCTTCAACCATACAACACACAACTCAGCCATCACTGCAACAGACCCTGACAGACTGTAACAGGCGTACTAAAGCACCATCCACTTGTGGAAATTTATGAACTGGCAAGGCAAGACTTCCCTGCTTGTATTTTCACACATCCTGAAAGAATTAGGAGATGAACAGCTTGATATGTTTAATCAACACCAGCTATAGCAGTTTTTATGTCAAATCAATTGCACCGTGTGATCCTTTCCTTGAAACAGTTTGTGCAGACAAAATTGTATCTGGCAAATAGGAATAACACTAATAAAGCAATAGAAAGCCTGGGGCATTTAAGAATAAAATTTTATTTGTGGAGCGTGTTGTAGTCACTGTATGAAAAATGACTGAGTATTAAGGGGGGAAAAAAAAGATAAAGTGCTGTCTGAGTCAACTGTTGGTTTGGTACAGCAGGGTTTCTCATGGATGGTAGAATAACTTATCAGAGGTAAAATATTGTTTATTTCCTACAGCACAGCCACAGAGGGTGCAACCGCTTCTGGGTTCATGAAATCAAAAGTATTTTTTAACAGCAGTATACTCCCATTACAGTTTTTTTTTTTAACTGCTATTGAGCCTTTTAAAGAGATTGACGGTTACACTATTTGGGTATACTTAGCACCTGAAGAGCTGAAAAGGATAAATGAAAGGTTTGTATATGAGATATAATTTTCAATTTGCGATAATTAACAGGGTTCTTCACTAAAAAGTGTGAAGAGTTTGGAGAAGGCAGGAGAAGTGAACAATCTAGGACAACATAGCTGAATTAGAATGTGAGCTGAATTGGAGAATTTTTCCAAATCAGCTATGTTGTCCTAGATTGTTCACTTCTCCTGCCTTCTACTCTTTTGTGAATTACCCTGTAAGGCTTGTGACTGTTACTGATGCGCACCGCAGTATTTATAACTAAATCGAAAATTCTATCTATCTATTCTATAAAGAATCCGCGCTTATGGTATCCCCTTGAAATCAGTGTTGTGTCAGCTGCAGTGAAAAAAGTAGTATCCATGTGTTCACTTCCCAATAGTAAAAACAAAAAATGTCACTGCGCTAATGTTACCATCTACCTAGAAACAGATACATTATAATTAAACATTAAGGTACATAATGTGTAAACACCAACAACCCTATATTGTGGTCACCCAATCACAATTGTGACCTCTCCAATATGTACATGATTACATATTGGAGAGGTCACAATTGTGATTGGTTAACCACAATATAGGGTTGTTGAGGTTTACATATTATGCACTTTAATGTTTAATTATCATGTATGCATTTCTAGGTAGACGGTAACATTAGCGCAGTGACATTTTGTGTTTTTATTGATAACTAAATGTTCCGATGTCTAGCAACATTCATCCTAGAAGACTGAGGACATGGTATAAAAGCAGGGCCACATGAACCTGCTCCCTCAAGGGACATCACCATGGCGCTAACCATTGACAAGTGTAATGATGCACTGATGCCACACACCTTCTGGCATTATTGAGGATTGCTCACCATCATGAGAGGATTGGAAGAGGCCTCTGATTGTCATGTGACCAGTGTTAAATGGCAAGTACAAAAAATCAACAAGCACAGTTGGGGCAGGAGCACTAAATGCAGGAAGGGGGAGATGAAAGTTGAAATTTAGAGTGAATCTGTGTCCAGACTATGCATACTAAAGTATTTACATATCTGGAACAAGCAGTAAAAGCATATTCAAACAAGTCATAATTTACCTTGGCAGCTATTGGCATTTGGAGAAATTAATCTTAAAAATTCACAACTGAAATCTTTCTTTCCCCATTACTTTCTATTACACTTAAATCTTGGCAGCCTGCCAGCTTTCAAATGTAAACATACATCAGGTGTTTCTAAGCTGTTTGAAATGGTCTAAAACCCCAATTTAGAGTCTCTGTAGTGATCTTTAAGAATTAATTACTTCACATTACAAGCAACTAGAGAGGTCAGTGATGGCTTAATTTAAAGCTCTTTTACTGCTTGTTAAGAATATGAAACCAATTTAAACTTCATATTATGAACAAGAGTGCACTTGTTGTAATT